AAAAAAAAAAAAGAAAAAAAAAAGAGGAGGAAATCATGAGCATATTGAGTAGATTGGAAAGCTGATATTGTGCGTTCAGAACATGTCTAAAACAATACCGTACCTTATCCCAAGAGGCTGGACTCTTGCAAGCGCCGACGAAGGCCTCTAGTGAGCCTCTGGAGGCTCACCGCAGAGTTGGAAACAAGTATAGGAAACACAGCATGGTATAGACAATTTAGAGTTGCTGTATATCTGCTTGGACGTTCAGGTAGGAAACTAACTAGCTGTGGCTTGTGAGCAGGTGCTCAAAAAATTGCTGTTGGTTGAACTTAGTTCAAATTTTAAACAAAATTGACCACCCATTGCTACCGTCTTCCCCCGAACACAACGCACCCTCATTTTGGCTGTATCTGGCCGGAAATACAACTTTTATACATTCATTTAAGGGTGCGTTATGTTCGGGGGAAGACGGTAGTTCAAATTATATGCCCAGTCTCTCTCAGTTTGCAGGCCTTCAGCATCCTCACAGTAATTAATATGCTTCTTGTCAGCCTGATGTGAGTGTCATGAACTTCGTCGTCTGTTGCCCAATGTCGCTACAACGCCAATAAATGCAGAGGCATGTACTCCCTGAGGTGGGACGGTATGCGAAAGTGCCGCCTCGGTGATAATAGCCCCGGACACTGGAGGGAAGGGAACTGGCACTGGTGTTTTAAATCACCACTGCTACTACAGCAAATGGGGTCTGCAGCAGGCAGGTCTGGCATATTGGGTGGAAGAGGGGCTGTGGAGGGTGGTGGGTGAACGCACATAATTGTGAGCGACCAAATTTTTGGCTGAACTGGAATGAAGATGTTTGCCATGGCACTCCTCTTCGTGCCGTGACCCGGTAGGGCCGACCATCGATACTTGGAAGCCCGGGATTGGTGTGCACACTAGATTTGGGAGAACAGGTCGAAGAGCAGCGATGGTTTATTCACCATCACCGCTACGGAACAGGATAACTCGTAGGTGAGTGGTGCTCCATGAAGGGAGGTGCCAAAAGAAGCTGGGGACGGGAGGAAGGGGGGGGAGGGGGGAGCCAAGGAGAGAGGGGTCAATTTGCATACAGCCGTGATTCACTTATGCGTAGTATTATTATAGGGAAAAAAGAGGAGGGCAAAAGGAAGGCTTGACATGGCAGAACACCAGTTGAAAATATGTGAGGAGAGAGGAAATATGCAGCGCACACCTCCCCTTGGGGGTGCTGGAGGCCATGGGGGGAGACGGCTCTGGGAGCGGCAGGCTCAGTGGGAATGAGCACGGGGGGAGTGAAGGGTTCACCCCCTTCCTAGCAGGAGTGACTCTCATCCCGACAGCACCTGGTCACAGCGGTGCATTGGCCTCCTAGCTGGGTGCCTCAGGGATGCAGGAACCTGAGCTCGAAGGGGGTGCACCCTCGGGAAGCGGCCTGGTAGCTCCGGTCCAGGCTGATACTCCCAGGTGTGTGTGGCAAGGTTACGATCCCCGATCTCAAGTGATCCCTGAGTGAGTGGGTGGGCCACTGTGCTGACAGCTGGGTTGACCCTGGCGCGTGAAGCCCCCTGCTGGACTTCCTCCCTGGGTCGTCTCCCCCACACCCCACAGCCCTTAATATATATATATATATATATATCGTCAAATAGAACTGCCCGGTAAACCGTAGGCAGAGAGGGAGAAGAGGACAACAAACGAGGGGCTGTGACAAACTGTTTCGTCGGAGTTTCACCGACTCATATCGACCTCCATACGTACGAGCGTTCGGCCCCCGCCAAAAATGATTTCAGGGCCTAAACATAAGGGTTTTTTTTTCCTGAAATATGTTTTGTGAGTTCTCTATGATGTGAGGTATATGCCTATAAATTGTGAAGTCATTCTGCTAAGCCAATCAAAAATTAAAAATCGCCAACGATGGTGGTGTCAAAACGTGACTATTTTGTTTTTTTTCACTTTTCACTTTTTGTTTTCACTTTATTGGGGGGCCTAAACAATTGTATATATTTTGAATTTTTTTTCATGAGTTTTGTATTATGTGAAGTACACATTTGTAAATTTTCAGGGCATTTGGCCGTGCCAAAAAGAAAAGAAAAATCGCCAAAGATGGTGGTGTCGAAAACGTTCTCGCTCACTCACTAATTTTAGTTCTCTTTTCATTTTTTTCTTATTTTTACTATTAGTTTTATTTTCTGTTTTTAATTTTTATTTCAAATTTGGTAAGGAATTTGGATGTAATGCTCAGGCAAATGTTGCTTATTTTATTTGTCCTCATAAAAAAAAAAAAATTCGGAGTTTTTTTAGATTGTTTTTGTTTTTTGTATTTTGATCCGTGTTCGGTCCAAACGGCAGAACAAATCCCCAAGGAGTCCCGTACGTTCTGGCGTTCGGGTTCCGGCGTTCGGCCCGTCCCGAACGCCAGTTTAATTCTACTTTCTCTAATTCTTCTTTCGACCCCTCTTTTTTTTGCTTTGCTCTTTCCCATTGTTGGGGTATTTCGTACTTCGTTTTGCGGACCTTCTGTACGGTTCCGTCTTTTTACTATGGTTATGGCAGAAATTGTTTGGGTATTTTTGCCGCATTTGTCTGCACCCCGGTTGGTTTCGTCCCATTGTTCGGCTTACAGTAGGTAATGCCCGTGGCCGTGACTTCATGTGGGATGTCATCTGGGTTTCTTTATCCTTTGGCATCCTGGTTGGCTGTTTCCCGTTGTCGGCCTGTGGTGAGGGGGTGGTGCTTTTCTGTGGGAATCGCCATCTGGGATAGTTTTTTATATATATTTTTTGTCGTTGGTGGTGTCGCAGTATTTTAGCTTCGACCAGCGAAGCATCCGAAAGATGGAAGCGATACCAGTTCTTGCAGCAAATAACAATCGCAAAGGAGTGACGCAGAGTCTATGGCAAGCACGAATGGTTTGTCATCTGGGATCCTCTTTTTGCAGGCAAGGGTGTTTTGATATCCTGGTTGGTCTTGTCCCATCTTTTGGCCTGTGACGAAGGGGGTGGTGCTTGCATGTGGGACTTCTCATCTAGGATCTGTTTATGTTTGTTTCCCCCTGTTTTGTTATATTTGGCTGTTCCCTTCCTCTTTCTTTGCCTCTTTGCCTTTTGGCTGTGTGCAAGAAGGTCGATATGACACACGGGGGTGGGGGCAGCCGCCGCTCAACGTACAGCCACGCGGGCGGCCTTGTACGCAAGAGGTTTTGAACAGGGGGAGTTGTGAGTAAGAAAATAAAAAATAAATTGATTTTTTTTTTTCCCGCTTCGCTATGGTGTCTTTGTGACGATAAATATATATATATAGTGAGGGGATTCTGCAGACTGTTGAGGGTTCAGCCTCCTGATGAGTCGGTGAAACTCCGACGAAACAGTTTGTCACAGCCTCTCGTTTGTTGTCCTCTTCTCTCTCTCTGCCTGCGGTTTACCGGGCAGTTCTGTTTGTGACGATATATATATATGTATATACATACGATATATATCTATATATAAAAAGGGTGGCCGGCATTTGGGATGGGCCGGACGGCCGAACGTACGGGACCCCTTGGGGATGCGTTCGGGCTGAACACGGAACCAAAAAAAAAAAAAAAAAAAAAAAAATCGGAAAGAAAAAAACTAAACAACATTTGCCTGAGCATGACATCCAAATTCCTTACCAAATTTGAAATAAAAATAAAATACAGAAAATAAATACTAATAAGAAGAAAAAAAAAAAAGAGAGAAATTAGCTAGGCTACCAGCTGGGCCGCCCGGGTCACCCTACTTTCCCGGGTGGCCTGGCCGTGCAAGGACCAGGGAAGGTCCCAGCCAAAACAATAAAAGTTAAAAAAATCCAAAAAATCCAAAAAAAATTATGGGACCAAAAAAAATAAAAGTTAAAAACATTGCCTCAAGGTCACATCGAAATTCTTTACCAAATTTAAAACAATATTTTTTATTTTTTTATTTTTTTATTTTTTTATTTCTTTTCTGCCCGGCCGGGCAAGTGGACCCGGGCCACTCTGGTAGCCTAGGAAATTAGAGAATTAAAATTATTGAGTGCGCGAGCCCAATTTCGACACTGCCATCTTTGGTGATTTTTCTTATTTTTTGGCATATCCAAATGCTCTGAAAGTTTACAGATGTGTACTTCACTTAATAATAAACTCAGTAAAAGAGTTTCAAAAAATAATAAAATTGTTTAGGTCCCGAAATAAACTGAAAACAAAAAGTAAAAAGTAAAAAAAACCAAAATAGTGAATGGGTGAGCACGTTTTGACACATCTGTCTTTGGAGATTTTTAATTTTTATTTGGCTTAGCAGAATGACTTTAAAATTAAATAGGTGTGTACCTCACATCATAGAGGACTCACACAAAAAAATTTCAGGAAAAAAAAAAAATTTAGGTGTCGAAATAATTTTTGGCAGTGGCCGAACCCTTTTGAGGTTCAGACCCTGAACGTGACCCCGAAAACCCGAACATATGGAGGTCGGCCCGGGGACCTCCATACGTATAGGCTGGACCTCCGGGGACCTCCATACGTATGGGCTGGTAACCCTGTATATATAATATATATATATACAGCCTCCTGATGAGTCGGTGAAACTCCGACGAAACAGTTTGTCACAGCCCCTCGTTTGTTGTCCTCTTCTCCCTCTCTGCCTACGGTTTACCGGGCAGTTCTATTTGACAATATATATATATATATATATATATATATATATATATATACTATATCGTCATAAAGGTATCATAGCGCAAAAGCAAAAAAAAAAAAAAAAAAAAAACATCAATTCATTT